TGTAATTGTACGATATTCTAACAACTCTTTTTTAAATTGACCCCGTTCCAGCAAGGCGATAAAGCCACTAAGATGCAAGGGAGTTACTAAGAGGGAATGGAACGGAGAAAACATTGCTGAGAATATAAAAACAGAACAGGATTCTAGGAGACGAATGTCGATTGACGTTGGATTTAAACTTTTAAAGATCCTAGTTGACCGAAAAGCAAGAAGCTTGAAGCTGGCAATCTAGTGTGACAGCTGGAATTCAAGTCGAGATAGCAAAGATGAGAATTCATCAGAACAATTACCATGAAAAGATTTAAAGAAAACTTAGAGAAAAGCCAAGTTCCGACAGCGGGAAAGTAATTGAATCCAGATGCCAGGTCATGACCGATAATATTACAGATTCTTCTTTTGATATTTTAATGAAGTCCAACATACATAGTAGAGGCACCAGTTTAGAAGCGGCACCAGTATTTAATAGATTGACGAATATGCATCTTAATAATGTGCAAGAGAAATTCTGGCAAAAATAGTCTAGCACAACCCAATGACCCAACTACCCTAGCAGCAGAGCTAGCAGTTGACTCGATATAATAGCTCCAATTCATATTAGTGGATAACATTAAACCGATAATTACACAACTGGAGGTTAGCATCAGCCATACTGATGGAAATTAAAACAGATTATTTAAAAAGATTAATAGAAAATAGTTTTGGAGGAGTTAAACATAACAAGCCATTTCTTGCTCCAGTTAACAACAAATTAAAGATTTATCTCGAGATCAGCTTCCAACAAAACAAAAACAACAAAAAAAAATAAACAAAAAAACAATAAGATTTAGAAAGGAACTTTTTTAAAATCATTTCATCCAAATCAAAGCGATAAAGCCATTAAGACGCACGTGTTAGAAAATACGAGAAGGATACGTTATTAAGGAGAGAGACCAATAAAAGAACAGAATTAAGAAAACGGAAGATAAAGATGGACATTGCATTTAAGTTTTTGAATACCTAAGTTAACTTGGAAGACAGGAGAGAGTTCCACAAGCGAGAATAGTTATAGAAGAAAAAGCATAGAAATTACGGTTCCATTTAGACATTACAACACTAAAACGATGAAACCTTACCACCAATCTAACATTGCGATTAAATTCATGAATACTATATAGAAAAATTCATTAGAACAATTACGATGAAAGTATTAATTAAAAAAATAATCTATGTTCCACTTTTAAAGAAATCTGCAAATAAAATGACAATTATTTTTGTCATTCAGCATGGTTCCTGCCTATTAAGCATACATACCAAATACTATAGTAGATCTGAAATGGAAAACACAAGCGTAACTGACCGAAAATGAACTGGCTAAAACCACCCGAGAAAACACGAGGTGAGAGAAAAAATCTGGACTTACTTCAAGTAAACTGATTGTTGACAGATAAAAGCGGTGAGCGTTGATTGCTTTTAGCGTCAATCAAGGGAGGAATCCTAATTGATTTGGCAGACAGAAAAGGACCCTAAATGTTCTTGGTGAACTCGTAAATATGGAAGATCGAGTTTCGACAAATTGTTATATAGAAAAACATCTTTTTAAGGACAGTAAAATCTACCAACCGCCCATTTGAATTCTTAACGATATATATGGGATATCCCGAAGATATTTGAAGATCATGTTGCGTCAAAATATGAAGTGAAGCGAGCGAACCAGCCTTTTAATTTATAAATACTAAACTAAGAATGTTGATGAAAAACAATTATGAAATGAAACAATTATGAAAATGCAAATGCAAATGATGAAAATATCGAAATATATTTGAAAACAAAAAACACGAAAAGAAATTCCTTTTCGGCTACATACAACACACATGACACAAAAGAACAAACAGAACCCAATACCCCAAATCAAATAATCTTTATTTCAAATACCAAAATTAAGAAACGAAGAAATATATCCAAAATAAATAAATGGAGCTTAAAGTTAAAAGGGACAGTTTCTTCCTTCTCAACACTTTCCATAATCCGCCATGAATGAAAAATGATTAAATATAGATCAGATATCGATTAGAATATATATATATATATATATATATATATATATATATATATATATATATATATATTAAATATGTCAATAAAAGACCAACAGTTTAAAAGTGATCAACAGTTTCGCGCTGAGAATAACGTCAGGACCAGATATTCAATAAACTATT